TCTGTTTGAATTGCATCTACATTAACGTCATTTTAGATTATTAAAATTGAAAAATTATTTTATATGAAACATTTCTTATTTTGAGCAAGTAATCATCAGTTTTTCAAAATCCACGGTAATAGGGCAGAGCACGGAGATAGGTACACTTACCCCTATTTATGATTGAAATATCAGTGGATCGTAGGTTAATATATTTACGTATTTCTTTATAAATACATTTAAAATGACCACAAGTTAGTGGAATCTAAAAAAAAATTAATAAAAAATCTTTTAAAAAGTGGGGGTCAAAAAGTTGTTAGAATTACGAGAATATGGAAATCTTTCAATTTAAGGGTCAGCATTTAAGCATTTAAGGTTTAATGTAATTTTTAGGTAGCTTGTAAGTTAAGAAAAAATTTACTGTAAAAACCACGGCACATTGCGACATGTCTTGTTCGATGGATCTTAAATTATGATTCAACATTACTAAAAGATATAGGAAAACTAGTATGATGTCTGCAAGCATATTATCATTTTTTCGTGGAATAGTGTTACATATGTAAACCCAAAACAAAACGTAAGATTTCAAATACTTTCACAAAACCTATTTAGAAATGTTTTTTTACTTTGTTACAAAAAGTATACTTTGATCTTGTTCTTTAATATTGTTCGCACAACATTTCATCCACAGCATTTATGGCTATTTTACAGTGCTGGATTTTTCTTTTAGTAATAAATAAATGTATTCGTTAAGTTCAACTTCGTATGCTTGGGTATAAGATATGAATAGTACAATTATAGTACTATGTGTAAAGTAACTACTTTTCTCCTTGTTTTTGCACGGATATTTGCATATTTATCTACCAACAAGCACTCAAAACAACAATTTTTTAATACTCATGATAACATTATTCATGGCATTTACAACATTCATGAGCTCAAAGATTATCCCACAAAAGTAATATTATATACACTTACGTAAAAAATACATCTTTAATCGTTTGACGCATGTAAGATTTTTTTAGTTAATGAATCCAAAATAAGCAAGATAAAAGTATAAAAAAGATACTTACATATCTTCAGCGGTCACAATGTTGAAAAATGTAAGAGCTAAGGTTATGATGCAGATAACAACAAGGAAGGATCTAGTAAAAGGGGTGAGAGACAGTGAGATAATCGGTGAGAGGCAGCTGCCACTACCTGTATGCCACCCTAGCAACACCCAACCCATTCTATGTCATCTGAAACAAAAAAATCAAAGTGACATTATTAGATTATTGTATACAGAATTAACAGATCATGGAAGCTTTCTGCTGTTTCAAGATTGTTCAATCGTAAACCGAATCACAGTCAAAAGTGCTCACATATTTTGTATTTCAATTAATTTAATAAAGGGGCAGGTCTTTGTGAAAGAGTTGATAGGAAAATATGGGAAGCACCCGGTTAAAGCAGAAGAAGGGAGTAGCTACTCAGTCAGTTACAAGAGTCTCAGGAGGTTACATACGTGTGGAAAGGCGTTGAGAACTTACACTTGGAACATCCAAATTGCGTCGACCATAGTAATAATTTCTTACTATAAAGGTAATACTTTTTATGCATTTATTTTCTTTGTAAATATATTTTTACTGTATTCCTTACGTCGTCTTTATGTGACTAATTTTACTTTTCATTGTACCCTAAAATTTTTTTTTTCCGATGCTTTTTTTCCGATAACTTCTTTTTTACATGTCTTTCTGGTTGTTTTTCCCCTAATATCAATTCTTTAATTGATTTACTATTTTCAACATTAGCTTACCTCACTTTTTCTTTATTTGTAACAATAAAATGTTATTTAAATAACAAAAATCTTGTGGTCTGGCAAAAGTATTCAATTTAATGTAACTTATCATCTCAATGTGTAGTTATAAATTTATATTAAAGTATACTCGTTTTTTAAATTTGAAAAGTTAAATCAACATGGTATCTTACTAATGTATGAAGCAAAGTCGCTAAAACCGTTGTAATCGCAAACCACGAGAACTACTGAGCCGATTTTGCTGAAATTTTGCATACCGATTCTTGACACTTCTTAGATGGTTTTAGTATGGTTTTTATCTTAAAAAATTTAATAACAATAGCAATAAGTAAGCTCAAAGTTTTGCAAAAATACGCCAGCTTTTCTCTTTAGTTCAGTTGGATCTACAAGGTGGCGTCGAGATAAAATCGAAGCTACCTGCAACAGAATTAAATAAGTGTGGTTATAATAGGCTGGAGCGTCGCAGAAATTTCTGCATTTGTATACCAGCAGTTAATCGAGCTGTATCGAGAACGTAGATGATTGTCGTGCAGCTGGGTATCCTGGTTACCAACGATGCTCTTCTCCAATGGGCAAGTTATCTAGATCTACTATCACCCTGAACATTTAGGATTGACGAGTGCCACCAATAAAAAATTTACTATAACCGATGACATCTCTGATGGAGTACCAGGAGACGGGTCTATCCACAGCATATCCTGCCCCAACTCCTCAGAGTTATACCACAATCTGGCCTGGTACCCTCAGAGAATTTTGTACTATAAATGTAAGCCAGGGAAAACAGCCTTGAGGGGTATGGGCAGCCATAACGGCTTCCTTCTCAGTGGTCGTGTCCCCAACGGCATCCTCACATTTCCCCTACTAACGATGAGCTGTTGGTGATCCGGGGAACAACCCAAAGACGAGATTTTTTTTGATCAGCGGTGTACCTCCTTCATGTACGGTCTCTGTCCACAGAGACTCCGAGGGTAAGAGTCAATCTACCCGCAGCTGGCTCTCCATCATCAAGAATAATAATAAGGATTGACTGGAAATTTTACCACTGGCCCTTTTCAGGGCCAATGTATACCAATAATTTAAAATTAAATTAATATTAAGATCAAACCATATTACGTTGACAAAAATTTCGTGAAAAAATAATTTCAGTAATTGAAATATAAATAAATAAATATAAATTAATTGGTTTCCAAAATTAAAATTCTTCTTACAACAGCTTAATGAAAGCAATGCCCAAATTAAGTACTAATAAATCTCTAAATCTTTTTTGTATTGTTAGTCTATATTTTAAACAATCCATATAAGTAATCAAATAAAATTTTGCAAGGTTTTTAAAAAATTATCTTACAGTAATTTAAAAAGTTGTGTTCTTATATTGTATTTTATACAACATATAAGTACCCAATGAATCATACATATGTATGTGATCATCAACGGAAAATCTCACGTTTTTAAGATGTATTTCCAACCACTGACTTTCAAAAACGTTTAGTTAAACACTAGTGTGGTGTGAAATTGTGACAAAAACCTACAGTCAAAATAATGTCTAACAGTTTTTAAAAACCTCTCCAGACTTGTAAAACATTAATGACGACAAACTTCATAGTGTGATGCATAATTTTATGCAGAAATAAGAATGATATAATGAAAGCGTGATAGGAAAAGTACCTACGTGTACTGCATAAGACTAGACTATGTAAAACTGTAATCAAGGAGTAAAGTAAACAACAACTTTGTAATGACTTTAATAAACATGCCCAGCGACCAATTCGTTGCAATTCGCTTCAGATAAACATAACACACATATTAACCTTATTATTTACTCTCGTGACAGTATAGGTGCAATGCCATACCTTTTAATAGCTTCAGAAAAAAGATGACAAACGAATATCAAATCGCCGTACTCATAAATCACGATACTGTAATGTGCGAACACAATTTCTACCGAACTAAGCAAAAATCTCGACCATCAAGCTGCCATTTCCAAATTGCAAATCATTCTACAATCACTTCTGTAGTACAACATTACCTACAATGAATTTAACACGGAAGATTTGCAACAGCAAGACCTAAAGAAATAATAATTCAAATAGTATAAATTGTATTGATGTATATGTAAACATAATTTTTATGTCCTACTCTATTAATTTAATACGTTATGTTACTAATAAAAAAATATATACGTATACATACTATAAATATGTTTGTATTTTGAGTACTTGACATGGGTTCAACTTCTTTCGCTCTTATAATTTTCACAGGTGGCAATCAGCTCAGGGGGGAGGAGCGTGTTACATCCCATGTGAGATACTTCATATAGTTATTATTTATCACTTTGAAACACTGGGTTTCATTTTAAAATTATAAAAAGCAAAGCTCAGCGATCTCAAAACATTGAGTGAAGCACCTGCTTCTGCAATTGCGTGACTTACAACTTACTTCATTTGAAACAAGCTATCGTCGAAAAACTCAAATACTACGCGTGCAACCATGAAACAATCTTATGAAGCGCTCATCTTACAACATAAATTAGTACTGGTTCATCCAAGGATATAAATAATCAACAATTTTAATATTCTTTACTGCGTATGTCCACAAGAGATACCATACACGATTTCAACAGCAACTTGTACTCAATGTAAAATCCGAGAAATGAGCAGTTTTTGCTATTATTTACTGTGTAACAATTGCACCATGACTGTGCTTGTGTCAATTGAGAGTAATTAGGTTAAGCTCTGATTGGTCGTTCGAATTTCTCACCTGATGTGTCCTCCTTAAGTGCAAAAGTATAAAAACTCTCGCACATAATAATATTATCCTTTTCTCTTTCATCAAAAGTTCCAAAGTAACCGTAAAGGTTGGAGAGTGAGTTCTGTTGCATCCTTTAAGTGGAAGAAAGACTTTGTTCAGTGATTAACCTACGTGTTAGAAGCGTGAATTTCAAGCAAATGTAAGACTTAGTTCAGTGACTAAGCTGTGTGAAAAATGCTCGAGCAAAGCAGGCCACTAAGACTCGCCTAACAAGTGTACCAAAGAGAAAAAAGAAAGAAGGAACCATCGGCTTGGGTTTCAATGTGAAAAGCAGCAGCTTAATTATTGTCATCACCACTAGTACTTTCGTGTAGGATCAGGATCGAAATTGCGGTCAACCTTGTAAGATTTTGCGACTCCAAATGCGCATCTGAAACTTATCAGTTTATATGATTTGTAAAGTCAATTATTTCTGGCTATACTTAATTTATCAAATTGTCACATGTGACACAACTTGGTTGTTAATTAAAATTATTTTCCGCACTCGGGTGGTTTTGGGAGGCTGGTACTTCCTCGGGCGAAAAAGCAGTTTTCCGGAACTCGTTCAAAAAGTCTCCTTTACGAACCTCGTTACGTCCCTCGCCTTCGGCTCGGGCCGCAAACCTCTCGGTTCGCAAACAGAGACTTTTCAAACTCGTAGGAAAACTACTATTNCAATACAACTGCTTCAACGTTCCAACGAGGACGTTGAACGCAACTTTTCTACCCTTGAGAACAAGGTGGAGACCCTGAGCAGCAAGGCAGACAGACTTGCAGATATATATTTAGTTCAAGTATTTCAAGCAGATTTTGAGAAAACTCGTTAAGATCTTACAATTTCGGGAGAGGCTTTTGTCTTAATGTGAGCCACTGAGCTCAGTAATGCAAGTTGAATCCACTGTTTTCCAACTCCAAAAAAATTGCTACAAAAATCTTTGTGTCTAGAGTCTCTTCAATATATTTTTTTTTTCGAATTCATACTCTTTGGAATTCGTTTTAAAGTTCTAACAAAAACATTATATCCTTGTTTTATTTTACTTTTATAAACAAGTTAAATATTAAGAAAAATTTTAATTAACAGCAGAGAAAAAACATATATACAAGGACATGGGATAAAAAGACGAATGAGATTCGCTGATGCTACATTACACAAGACATAATTTCAAGCAGTAAGTTAACGACAGGTAGCATACGACGCATTAACACTACTGCACATATACCATTTAGTAAAACCTAACACCATAACGCTGAGTCAACGATTATAAAGAATACTGTAAGCGCAAATAAAAGCTTCGGGCTGACGGCTGATTCCTGACAAAAAAAAATTAAATTTACTTGTAGAACGAACCTACAAGCTCTACCCTTTACTGATAGAAGTTGGGATGTAACATTATCATTACTTTTTGTTGCCACATTGTTGTGGTAACATACATATGTAACAACAATATTTATATTTGAAAGTAGTTTCACACTATTTGTATTTAATTGTTTTTTTTGAACTATTAAAAAGTGTTATTTATTTAAAGTGTTTAAATTTTATGTGCCTGTCTAGTTGTGCACAACTA